TGGTCTGTTTGGATATTGATCTAAATTATCTATTTTGAACGTGTTATGTTAACTAGGTCTATTTGAACCCAAATTTAATTGGGGTGCATTTGAATCTAAATTAGGGCTTTATGGACATATATTATGTAATTTGTGTGCATGTAATTTGTATTTAGGTAAACAGAATGTAAAGCAAGTAATCTGTATTTCAAATAGTCTTTTGTTGAACAAGTTAATTTTCTATTTAAATTTTTTCATGTTTTAATATTATAGTATTGTATTCATGAAATATGAGTACTTCGATCAACATAGTGTTAAACCAACAGTAGTATTAAAGCAATAATAGTTAATTTTGTTGCCAAGGAAAAAAGCAAGCATATATAGGATGTTGACTTGGCAAAAAAAAATTTAGTTTAGTTTAAAAAAAAAACAAACATATAAGTATTTCAGTCATATATATATACTAGTCATAATCCGTGCCTGAAGGCACGATAGAATATAAAATTGAGCCCCAAAAAATCGATTTCATTGCATTAAATAATAATTTTTTTTCTTCATTTCTTTAATTACATTATTCAAAATTTAATTTTACTCATTATTTTTTTAAAAATATTGATAAAATTTTCTCAAAATACGTAATTCAATAATTTTTTTTCAAATATGTATACGATCGTGTATACATAATATCAGAAAGAAAAAGTATATTAAATTACAAATTAATCAAATATTAAATGATTGACATGTGATAGAAATAGGTGATGTGATGGTTTTGGGTGGGACAATCAGACAATGTATAGGGCGATAAAATTCAACTTCCTATGTGCTATATATATGTTGTTATGCATACTTGATGATCGCGAAAATTTTAGAGGGAAGAAAAAGAAATCTAGCCCAGCTCTTAGTTGACCGATTAATGATTTTGCTTGATCAGTCATGTCATTGGTTGATGGTGTTGACGTTTTTCCCAAACTAGCCCAATCGTTGGCCAACCTGTTTTGTGATATTTACTTAGAAGAAATTCCTAAATTATTGTATAATGGCAATGGTGGTTGTGTTGTGTATACTTTGGAAAACTTCCAGTTGTTACGAGCATGAAAGATAATAAGGAGGAGAAGAAGAAGACGAAAGAAAAAATGAAGAGGTTATATTTTCATAATAGTATATATATTTNTTAAATTTATGGGGTATATTTTCTTTTCAAATTTTACTCACCTACACACACTTTCCCTTACAAATTTCATAAATCTAATACAAATATTCCACAACAAATACAAATTTATTATATATACACATTATATATATATATATATATATCTATCTATATATCTATCTATACACAGTATACACAGTCTAATACATGCTTAGNTTAAATTTATGGGGTATATTTTCTTTTCAAATTTTACTCACCTACACACACTTTCCCCTACAAATTTCACAAATCTAATACAAATATTCCACAACAAATACAAATTTATTATATATACACATTATATATATATATATATATATATTTCAGTTGTATACACATTTTAATACATGCTTAATATCATAACTTAGTATCCAGGATATCACTCACTATATATTAAGGGGGCTAATAACTTGAAAAATTAAAAATAAACTATGTTCATAAAAAATGATCCAGATGAATTTAAACTAGTTCTAACGGTACAAATTCACTCCCCAACAATTCCACCCCCCCCCCCCCCCCCCCC